CCTGAGATTGGAACAAAGAATTTAGATCTAGAGCAGACTGGATCATATACATCTTCTATAGATGACTTTATTAAAAGGCATAATGTTCCAGCAGAAAAAGTAACTAATTTTTATTTATACAATGTAATCTTCCTAATTAGTACTTTTTGTTTGTAATTAATACTTTGCATTTTAGAAAAGAGTAATTCATCTTCATAACATGTATTGGTCTCATTAGGTTTTGTGCCACTACAAAAGTGGTTTTGCAGATCCCCCTTGGGTTTTTTTCTCTCTCTAATTCCCTTCCCTGCCTTTTTTCAGATTGAAACTTTCAGCTGGCTTAAACCAAGTAGCACTCCTACTGACAAACAAGGATACCTATAAATTATGTTTGCAGTTGTATCTGTGTTGGTCTCAAAATATTAGAGAAAAGGGGTGTGAGGTAATACCTCACCCATCTTGCATTCTGTAAAATTATTTTATACCTTCTCTTACCTTCTGGCAAATTTGGTTCTCGAGTGCTTGCTCATGTCTGTTCCACATATAGTCCATTCCGAATATGCATGCTCACCACATGTACCAGTGCTGGAAGTTTTGCCATTAATAGTATCCATAGGGGAGCACTCCTAGAGCCCCTTGGAGGGGAGCCTCTGTGGCACGGTGTAAGGGGCATTGCATGCTCCTCCCATCTTAAGCTCCTTCTTGCTGCAAGTGATGTTGCTGGAACTTTCTGTTGTCACGTGCAAGCTGGTTTGTGTTCTTCTTCTTTATTCCACTATAGACAATAGTTCTAGTAGTCAGATCCCTTAGTAGTAACCATTAGTTGTTAGTCCTGGAGGGAACTATTTACCCTGAAATGGGGCATACCTCAGTCTCCTGGGTTTGAGTTTTGTGACCGCTACAAGTGTTCTATGCCCATTAGCAACCCACAGAGCAGCTGCTTGCAGCGTCTGGGTGAAGGACACATTAGCAATAGCTGTCACATTTGTAAATAATTCAAGTCCAGGACTAAATGGGACAGTGACACATATTTTCACATTATCTTGATGGAATCAGTGTTGGCCTTGCCATTGGAGCATCGTTCCAATTCGGTAGCAAGCACTGTGGCTTTGGCGCACACCAGCTCTAGTTTCCCTTACCAGCCGAATCCAAGAAAGCTAGGAAAAACTGAGAGAGGCCAGAGGAAAGTCACGACTCTTGTTGGACAGCTTGACCCTTGTCAGTATCCTGGGCAGTGACTCATATTGAGTGGTCATCCAGGCCTGTGACAGCAGAGAGGGCTCCATCCAGTGGAAAAGGTCCTGCCAAATTTTCAGAACCAGGGTTTCTAGTCCCACTGCTTCCTTATCCCAAAGGCATAGTACAATCATCATGGACCTATACAACCTCAACAGTGATCTACAAAAGTTGAAGTTCTTCTTTGAGTGCTTGTTCATGTGTATTCCAATCAGGTTTGTAAACACAGTGGTTGGAATATTTTTCCCATAGCAGCTTCGGCGCACTCTCGCACCTCCCTGGCACTGAACAGCCTCGGCATTGGTCACAGTCCCTGGTGCCGCAGAAGAGGCCTAACAGAGATAGATCACCTCCGAGGCGCGTACCCTTCATGTGCCCTTCAGAAGGGCACATGGCACCATGAAGCGCCGAACCTGGACCATCTCATTCAGGTGGATGTTTATCTCCACACTGAGAGCCCAGCCCACTGGGGGACTTCCCAGAACCCTACATTCCAGAGGCCTTTGAAGCGGCCAGGGACTTGATTGAGTCGTCGTCCTCACCTCCCCTGACATCGACCCCCACCAGAGGTCATGGGAGCAGCCGGCACCGACCAACTTCGAGGGGGTCTGACGATGTAGTCAAGGACGCCAGAAAACACCACTCGGTGCAGCCCACAACTCCGACACTGACTGCGGCATCAACAACTGACTTGACCCCGGTACTGGCTGCGGAACGGGACATGGCACCGGGCCTGTCACCAACACAATACCACTGTGCGGTATTGTCCATGGCACCCAGCTCCATGGCTCTTATCTCCGCCCAGAGCTTACCAGCCCCGGGCCCGGCTATGCTACCCCTACCTCCCCGGCACCGCAGCAAACCTGAGTCGATGGCCAGACACGCTCTGGCATCGGCAACCTTGGCAGAACCCCCAATGGCCCCACCCTGGTCTGCTTCAGAGTACTCAACCGATTCTGAGGCAGAGTCAACTTGGTCATCAAGAGGCTCCAGATCCCACTCTCTGCACCGGTCCCACTCGCAATGCTGATCGCGGCACCGCAGCTCCTCTGCTCACCATCAGCAGCATTGGGCACAGTCAGTTCTGGTGCCGATGATGCAACAAACCTGGCCCCTGCAACTTTTGAGTCAGTGGCCATTCTGGACCTTGTGGGCCTTCCACCAGAGCCAGGGTGCAGATCCTTCGAAGGCAGGGTAAGCACCCGGGAACATGCAAATCAAGCCCGGGATATTTTAATCCTGGGCTTCATTTGCAAGTTCGAATGACTACATTAGCCGCCCTAGTTCGAACTAGGGTGGCTAGTGTAGACACACCCTTAGGGAGTAGGAAACCTTCCATTAGGGCTACATACCTGGCTAAGTGGAAGCGGTTCTACATCTGGGCTTCCTACAAAAGGGTTTCCCTGAGGGAGGCCCCGATTCGCCTCATCTTGGACTACCTCTTAGATCTCAGGCTTCAGGGACTCTCCTCTTCCTCGATTAAGGTCCACTTAGGGTCCAGCTCTGCCTTCCACCCGGGAGACAGGGGAAAGACTCTGTTTGCTGATCCAATGGTAAACAGGTTTCTGAAGGGATTAGATAGACTTTACCCACATGTACGATAGCCTGTCCCTCAGTAGGACCTCAGTCTGGTCCTTTCCAAACTCATGGGGCCCCCGTTTGAGTCCCTGCCAACATGTTCACTAATACACCTGTCCTACAAGCAATCACACCGGCTAGGTGGGTGTCCAAACTGAGAACGCTCATTTCGGATCCCCCCTATACGGTTTTCTTTAAGGATAAAGTGAGGCTATGACCCCACCCTTCGTTCTTGCCCACGGTGGTGGTGTCCTTTCATGTGTCTCAGGATATATTCCTATCAGTGTTTTACCCCAAACC